TTTTAACATTTAGGATTTTAATGTAAATTAATCGTATGGTATGTATGCTTTCGCAACTTGCTTTCTGCTTCAGCAAAAATATTTGTTGTTTTGTGTTTTTGTGAGATTCATGTAGTTCTAGTTCAGTCATTTTCAGGGCTGTATAGTGTTTCATTAAAGGATTATAATATTTTATTCAGTCTCTTCTTGATAGCCTTTTAGATGGTTGATGGTTTCCCTTTTTTTTTTTGCTATAACATCTACTGCTGCTAGAAACATTGGGTGTGTGCCTTGGTATACCTGTCTGAGAGGTTTTTTTTTTTTTTAAAGATTTTATTTATTTGACAGAGAGAGACACAGTGAGAGAGGGAACACAAGCAGGGGGAGTGGGAGAGGGAGAAGCAGGCTTCCCGCTGAGCAGAGAGCCCGATGTGGGGCTCAATCCCAGGACCCTGGAACCATGACCTGAGCCAAAGGCAGACGCTTAACGACTGAGCCACCCAGGCGCCCCTGTCTGAGAGTTGTTAAAGGATATTTATGTAGGAATGAAATCTTCATGTCATAATGTTTGTTTTTATCTTTATCAGATATTGCCAAATTGTTCTTCAAAGTAGTCATACTAATTTATGATTCCTCCAGTAACAGTGGAGATTCTATATTTCTCTGACATTTGGTAACAGATACTAGCATTTAACTGAGGTGAAATAATACCTCATTGTACTTTAAATTTGCATTTCTCTGACTACTCTTATGGCTCAAACATCTTTTCATATCGTTAGTAGCTATTTGGGTTTTTTCTTCTGGGAAGTACCTGTTGCCTATTTTTCCTTTGAGTTGCTTGTCTTATTGATTTGCAGAAATGCTTTCTTTCTTTCTTTTTTTTTTTTTCAAAGATTTTATTTTTAAGTAATCTCTACACCCAATGTGGGGCTTGAACCCACAACCCTGGATCAAGAGCCACATGCTCTATTGACAGAGCCAGCCAGGCGACCCTGCAGAAGTGCTGTCTATATTCTGGATACAAATTCTTTGTTAAGTAAATATGATGCATTTGTCTTCTCTGTGCTTACTCTCTTTCATTTTTAAAAGGATGCCTGCTTTCTTATGTCTTACAAAATCTTTTTGTAATTGGAGGTTACAGATTTTCATTTAGACTTTTATACCCAGGACTTTAGTACAAGTGGAATTGACTTATAAATGATGTGAGGAAAGGATCCCAATTTCCCCCCTATTTGTATTGAATAACCAGTTGTCCCAGCACCATTTCTAGACATTTCTGGTCCTTTATTGATTGGCAGGACCCCCTCAGTCATCTGTGTGTGGATTGATTTCTGAGTTCTCACCTGGTTATTGGTTGCTTTATTATGTATCCCGGTGCCATATTACATTTGTATAAAACCTTGATATCTGGTAAGGCAACTTTCTGCAACTGGTTGTTCTTAAAACTTGTATTGGCTATTCTTGGACCTTCTCCTCCTTCACATAGGTTTAAAATCAGCTTGCCACAGTCCATGGCAAATTACTTTTTAATTTTTGATTGGACTGCTATTAAATTTATAAATTCATGTGAGTGTCTATTATATCCAGTTTTTTCAGATTATCTAGTGCAGGGTTTCTTAATCTTGGCACTATTGGTGTCTACAGTTGGTAGGTCTACAGACTGTAGACCTCTTTGTTGTGGAGGATGTACATTGAGGGATGTTTAGCAGCATCCCTGGCCTGATGACCAAAAATGTCTCAAGACATTATCAAATGTCCCCTGAGGGATAAAACTGTCACTGATTCAGAAGTATTGATTTGGTCTGTTGCAAAAATTTTCCTTATTTTCTTGAAAGTTTTCATATTTATTTAAATTCTTTCAGATGTAGGTTCCTCAGATGTGAATTTTATTTGTGTTGTTTACTGTTATGGTGATTTTTATTTTTGTGCGTCGCAGTTTTTAAGCATGAACTTGCCTCCAGCAGAATGGATGTCTTCTATGCCCTGGGTTGTGAAGGTAGCCTTATAGGGGTGGTTTTGGGTTTGCCTCTGAAGGTCTTATAGGCTTCCCTAGTTTGAGAGTGATTTTTATGTTAATGTCTTGATTTGGGATTAAAAGAAACCCCAACAAAGTAGTGATTACTTGGACCCTAACCCTACTTCTCCCTTCCATGCTCCCCTTTCTCAAGTGCCTGTCACCTTTAGCTACAATTAACTGCCTCAACAGCACCCTAACATGTATACTGGTATTTTGCTGCAGGTTGGACTGACTCAGCACGGGATCTGTAGTTTTCCTTTTGATATTTTTTCTGAATATGCCAGATGCTACCACTGAGTAATTTGGATTTTGCTGCCAAACTATACCTCCATTAGGACAGAGGGAAGACAGCATGCCAGTTCTCTTGCTGAGTGTGCATGACTGGCAGAAAGTCCTGGTATAATGGTTGGAGGGAATGAACTGAGCAGATGATTTTTTTTTGAGCAGATAATATTTTAAAAAATGATTAATGTTGTTAACTTCTTGACGGCGTTGTTCTATCATTGATGACTACGAATCGCAAAGGTTGGCTACTGTTTTTAAAAATAGGGAATTGGGGGCGCCTGGGTGGCTCAGTTGGTTAAGCGTCTGCCGTCTGCTCAGGTCATGATCCCAGGGTCCTGGGATGGAGCCCCACTGCGGTGAGGTGGGCTCCCTGCTCGGCAGGGAGTCTGCTTCTCCCTCTGCTCCTCCCCACTCCCCGCCCCCCGCTCCTGCTCTCTCACATTCACTCCCTCTCTCTTTTTCTCAAATAAATAAATAATAGTAAAAAAATAAATAAAAATAGGGAATTGAACATTTGATTTCTCGTTGGTTCTTTTTCAGATAAGTCTTATGAATTTGGATAACATCTCATTTATTCTTCTCTTACTTATTTTATACCTTCTAGTGGGTATGAATATTTTATAGGTTGATTTATAATAACTACTAACAAAATTGTGACTTTTAGTCAATAGAATAAGTACTTGATTTCCTTCCATGGAAACTAGTGCTTAGGTGAAAGTATTGTTAGCCTGTGAATAAAGTATAAATTTAGGGTCTCTGGAATGCGTAAAATTGTTATTAAGCTTTCAGGTTAAAAAAAATAGTCTGAGTGCCAGTTTTTCTACTTTCATTGAGCAGTCATTTAGTCAATTCCATTTTTCCAGTTATTCATAATGGCTGTATTTAAGTGAGGTTTGGATGAATGGGCATGGGATTGGCATAGACACACCAATACTGATTAGCAAGTATACATAAGGTAAAATGTCTATTTTTATTAAGAACTCACCATTTAGCCTGATTGTGGGAAGGCCAGTGTGAAAGATATAAATGAATGGTCTACTTTAAAATACTTTCAGACCCTAAAATGCTTACTAATATTTTCACTGATGGGGAACTCTGGATCTCTAGGAAATTGTGCTTACTCTAAGAATCTATTTTGTCTTTTTGTTTTTGACAGCAAAAACTATTCAATGTCCCTTATACCCCTTTTTGCTTTGACTGCCAGGAAACTCAGGGACAAAGTCACAGTCTGCTAAAATCTGTTTAGGCCTTTCTGGCCTGCATATTTGCTTTGTCTTCTCTATCCTTCCACCCCATTTCGACTTTCTAACTTAATGGTTTTTTAAACTAATTTTTCCCCTCGTCTCATATAAAAATTTTCTTGTATTCAGTGCTGCTATTTAAGATGCCTCAAACCTACTGTGGACTGGAATTGTACATAAATAAATAAAATAGCTTCAGTGTTCCTTTCATTAAACATAGCTCAATAAATGTATAAATACACTTGTACACAAATACATAGTAATAGTTAGCAACTTACAGTGGGGTTCTGTTTCCAATTATTTTTTTTGCTAAGATTAACTTTTAACCTTAAATATTCTCTAATAGAAATAGACAAGGTACTGTCTCAGAACACAACAGTTTATTTAACAAAAAATATAGCCATGAAATTTTATTTATTTATTTATTTATTTATTTATCGCTAGGAAACTTTAGAATAGAATAGACAGCAGCTGCCATTTGCACCTTAAATTTTGAAAAAGAATAGGTTGAGTTTCAATGGAAGCAATTAGGAACACATTTATGGCATCCCCTCCCATTGCTCCCACCCAAGTCCAGCCCTGGGACCAAGAACTTTCCCTAGATTTTCTGTCCTACTTCCTTCCTTCCACTGATACCATCAGGAACTCCTGTGATGATTGCTGACCTGAAGCAGTATATTGAGAGTAAGGGGCCCCTAGCACTTCCACGGGCTCAGGGTCTGAAGCCTTGATCAAAACTTGACAAGGCAAGGGGGCAGGTCCAATGAGCATTCCTGATGAAGTTGTGAGAAGGACCCGGGACTCTGGGAGGATGGGTGCAGAGATGTCTGCTTATGAGGGGTTTTAAAGTAGGAGACAACTGGGAGAAAAGGAGTGGAGTAGTTCTGATACCCTGCAGAAGGTCTCTTGTCAAGACCCATATTTGTTCAAACCTACCTGGTTGGTGTCACTTCAAGTGGGAGTTAACCCTGTGACACCAGTTTTTCTAGTCCATTTAGCTGCTTAGTCATTGGGTTTTTTCTTCTTCCTCCCACCAAGGTTATATGCCATTTATTTATTAACTGTCTCCTTGTGATTTTCTTCTTACCGTATTTGACGTCCCAAAAATTCCGATAAAGCCTGCGGGACTTTTGGGAGATGATTTGTTTCTGGTTTCATTCCCTTTAAAATGTAGGTTATCTTCTTTGTCTGTCTTGGTTTTTCAATCAGTTGCTTTGTCTACCTTCTATAGACTTAACAATGTAAATTTAATCTGCTAGGTTAGAGAGACCAGCAAGCAAGGAAGAGCCTCTACCTTGAATTTGAGACATAAGTTACTTTGATAAGAGGATTTAAAAAATTCCCTTTTAAGCACAGAACTCCACTGGAAAGGACTTTGAAAGAAATGAAGAAAACCATCAGAAATGAAGACAGCAGCCTCATGGCCTTTTATTGACTAGAGTGGAGTTTTATTACTGTAGTGTTTTGGAAGGACACTGTGCAGGATGTCTACTGAGGTCATTCATCAGGTTGAAGAGGCACTTGATGAAGACGAGAAGAAAATGCTTCTTTTTATGTGCCGGGATGTGGCTGCAGATGTTGCTCCGCTTAATGTCAGGGACCTTCTGGATATTTTAAGTGAGAGAGGAATGCTGTCTGCCATGGGCTTGGCCGAGCTGCTCTACAGAGTGAGGCGGTTTGACTTGCTCAAGCGGATCTTCAAGATGGACAGAAAGGCAGTGGAGGCCCACCTGCTCAGGCACCCTCGCCTTATTTCGGACTATAGGTAATTCATCAGCAATTCCCAAGGCTGGACCTGGTGCGAGGGAGGGAGGTGGTCTAGGCTTATGAACAACAGAAATGAGGACAGTAAGAAAAAGCAGTGATGTTACCTTCTTTACCCATAGATTCAACTGCCTTATGATGTTACTTCATTTCTTTGAAGTCTTTGAATTCTTAGAACATGTTTGTTTAAGTAATTGGGTAGAAGATCATAAAGAAAGTGGAAGGGCTGGGGAGCATAATGGATAGAATGATGGAGATAAGAATGACTAAGAGCTAGTAATTCTTGCCATCCTCTGACTGTGAGGTCTACGGTGGTCTTTCCTGGCTTATTTTCTGTGATGTCAGACTGGCAGATTCTGAGAAAGGAAATAACAAGTCTGACAGTGGTCTTCTTGACCTTTGTAGAGCTCTGTGATCCCTCCTGAGTCCCCTTTGGTCTTTCCCCTGCTGAGGAGGTTAGTGAGATGGGCTCCCTTTCTGTGAGTTCCAGTGAGATCCTTGCCCCCAGAGACTCGATGGGCCAGGGGTGCAGAATGAACATCCCATCGATTAACCAGCTATAGGCCCCCTTCAGTTCAGAGAGGAATGGTCCCTGGAGTCCCCTTTAGTTCAGACCGTCTTTGAGTTTTTCCTTCCTCCTGCTTACATACTACTCTCTTGGAGGTTCAGGGGAGCACAGCAGCCCCAAGAAAGGCTGCATTTCTGGAGAAAGGAAGATACCTTGTAACCTTAAATTAATGGTTCCTTTTTCTCCAGACCACCAGCCTTAAGTTATATCAATGATGCATGACTTGGAGAAGATGTGTATTATCAAGAACTATATTAAGGAGCATTGAAAGAGGCATAGGCCTTGGAAAGTGCCTGAAACTTGAGGTCTAGAGGCCTGTTTCAAGTCCCAGAACTATCTGTTACAGGCCACAAAGCTTAGCCAGCCACTAACATTGCTTGGGACTTCCTTTTCTTACTTGTAAAGCTAAAAATAGTGGAACCTGATTTCACAAGTTTGTTGGTGTAATTGTAATAATTTAGTATGTGGAGTGCTTTTAAAACTGTGAAGCCATCTACAAATGCAGGGGTTCATCATTATTGTAGTTATTCTCAATCATCTTCCACCTCTTCAACTATCATGTAATGCCAGTAATGTTCTTAAATGTTCAGAGGCAGTGGGTTTCAGTGAATATGTTAGGGCACTCTCCATTTCCTGTCTCCTTGCTATGGTGAGTGCAGACAGTACCTCAGAGCCTCTGGGCAGAGAGGCTGGGCAGTGGGATGCTAGATTCATCGATGTATCTATTCAGTGGCCTTTCTTTTGGGTCAACATATATCAGGTGTTTGGTAAGCGCTAGAGCAAAATTAACGAAGCATCTTCTGTCCTCAAGAATTTGAGAGCCTAATTGGGAAAACAGCCTTCTAAGCAGTGATGACAATGTCCAGGCAATAATGCCAACCACAGGGTGTCCTGGGAGCCCAGATAAAGTGTGATGGTGGCTCCCACTGGAGCAGAGGTGACTGAATCAGGAAGAGCTTTCTAGACAAAGACATCTTTGGTCACAGTCCCCAGTCCCCAGGCTTTAGATGCCTTTCACCCTTTGAGTTCAAGAGTTGGCCAGGACATCCCAGGTATAACTTTGCTTTAGAAGCTTGTGACTCAAAGTATGGTCCCTGGGTCTGCAGCGTCAGCATCCCCTGGGAACTTGTAAAACAGAGAAAACAAGATCACTTCAAATTCTATTTCTGTCTTCCATCTTAGTCATATATGTTCTTCACTTATTTCATCATAACATCTGGGGGAAGTAGGGGATTCTTCAGGGAAGTTTTTATTCTGAGTTGTTTTTAGAGCAGTTAGTTCGAAAGAAAGGTACTGTTTCCTATTGAAAGTAGGGGAAGGATGAATTTCCTTTTTGAGTTCCCTTAAGATATCTTCCTGAGGTGGCCTAGGCTTTCTGTTTTATGGGGGTGTGTATCAAATGGGGGCCTGAACTAGCCTTTTAGCCAATTATTGGCATAGCAGAGGCATAGCCTCTTGTTTTTTTCACTAGGATGGTGTCTGAATTTACTAAAAATAACTTGCCTGTTTACAGGGTGCTGATGACAGAGATTGGTGGTAATTTGGAAAAATCTGATCTGTCCTCATTATTTTTCCTCATGAGGGATTATACTGGTCGAAAAAAGGTAGCCAAGGATAAGGTGAGTTTTCTTTTTCTTGGTTCATGTTCCCAAGAGCCTATCAGAAGGTGGAGGGTGCTCTCTAGGGTGTGAAGAGAGGGATGTGGGGCCTTGAATAGGAAGGGCCCAAGCTGGGGGTGAAGATAGGAAGTGAGAAGAGAAAGGTCTGTTTCTTAATAACATTGATAAGAAGAGAATTGGTTTCTCAGTTGAGAGGAAATAGGGTGGCCCTGGGTATTTCTCTCATCCTTGTATTTTTTTCTTATTTCTGTAAAAGTCAGAGGCCTGATTTAGGTATCAGTTTCTCTCCCCCATTTGACAGACCATCTGGGAGGGTTTGGAAGTCCCATCTGCTCACACTGAGGGCAAACAGGTGGGAAGTACGGGTCCGCTCCCGACGGCATCTATTTTCCCCTCAGCTAGCTCAAGGCCAGGGTGAAGTCATTAGGCTCCGTGTGGAGATGAGGTGGGGGAAGGTACTTGTGACTCATGTATCCAGGGAATGGCAAAAACAGAGATTCAAGGTTGGAAGCTAGGTAGCAGTCAAGATCTCAGGGATGTTGTAATTGCTGGCAAAGTATTTAAATTCCTCTTGGCCCCGTGTGATACTGCTGGCCTAAGGACAGGCCAGGAAAGCCTCAGGTCTCTAGATTATGACAATATGTTCTTAAAGGACCTGCCTTTGAGGACTCTGGTAAGGTGTTGCTTGAGAATTTCCTCTTGTTCTTTAATCATTGGAGTTTTGTTCCTGAAATCTAGGCAGATAGGGTGACTGGATGCCCCCCCAACCATCAAATGCATCAAATGGGAAGGAAAATGAAAAAAATAGAACTTCTATTTGGTGCCCCCAAATCAACTTATCTGCCAGTCATTTATATCAATTTCATGATGATGATTATTTAAAAAAAATAAAAAATAGAGCCTCAGTAGTCAAATGTTAAACCGAAGGGAAATAAAACACAAAGCAAAGCCTATTTCTGAAATGTAGTTCTTTCCTAATCTCTTTGGTCCAGGGCAAGTGAGTAGCAATATACCCTAACTTTTAAATTTTGCCCCCTCAGACCTCCTGAGTCAGAATGAGTTGGAATGTCCAGCATTGACTAAAATATTTTAGGAACTTCAAAATTACATCACTGGGATTTTTCTAATAGAAACTTGCCCCCAGCTATCTTCTCTCTTCCCTTTTTAGGAAAGCCCTTAGAGTTTTTCAGTATAATTTCAGCTGGGCCTTTTGGAAAAATGGTACTTTTTTTTTTTATATTGTTAGTCACCATACATTACATCATTAGTTTTTGATCAGGTGTTCCATGATTCATTGTTTGCATATTACACCCAGTGCTCCATGCAGAACATGCCCTCCTTAATACCCACACCGGGCTACCCCATCCCCTTACCCCCCTCCCCTCTGAAACCCTCAGTTTGATTTCCAGAGTCCATAGTCTCATGGCTCATCTCCCCCTCCGATTCCCCCCCTTCATTTTTCCCTTCCTTCTCCTAATGTCCTCCATGCTATTCCTTATGTTCCACAGATAAGTGAAACCATATGATAATTGACTTTCTCTGCTTGACTTATTTCACTTAGCGTAATCTCCACTCCCATCCATGTTGATGCAAAACTTGGGCATTCATCCTTTCTGATGGCTGAGTAATATTCCATTATATATATGGATTGTGGTACTTCTTGATGACATAAAATGGCCCATGTGTCTATCCCCAACCTAGGTACAGGTTGTCCACCAAAAGACTTAACCACCTCTTTCTCAATAAAATCCAGGAGTGTAATTTGCTCCTGACCTTGGAGGGACTATGAACCAGAGAGGTCTGGTTTAGGATCACTGAAGATCATGGAAGGGGCTCCCCTTGTCACATTTTCTTGCGGTTACAAATCACACAGCCTGAGGTTTGCATTTGGGGCTTAAGAGTCAGCCTTACTGACATTTTTTTCTTGTTCGTTGCTCTCTCAGAGTTTCCTAGATCTTGTGATCGAATTAGAGAAACTTAATCTGATTGCTCCAGATCAATTGGAATTACTAGAAAAATGCCTGAAGAACATCCACAGAGTAGACCTGAAGACAAAAATCCAGAAATACAAGCAATTGGGTAAGTAGGCCTCTCTGCGGCCTAAGGAAAGTACCCTGTGTATCCTAGGTTCAGTTGGTAAAGACTCATTTGTTGGATGAGTGGAGGAAACAGAACCCGAGTGTCAACAGCCCCCATGAGCCTGTGGCTAGAGATCACATCCCTTTCCATCTTTCATATCCCACATCTGCTGACTTCATCACCCCATACCCATGATCACAGAACTTCAGCCCTCTGCAAAAGACTGCGAAGAAGTTCTTAACATTCCAGCCTTTAGGAAATCATCTGCACCCCCATTTTCTGCACAGGCTGGCTGCATTGTGGACATGCAGGGCTTTCGAGTGCATGCTGAGTCCTACTGTCTTGCTCCAGTCTTGGGCCTGACCCCCATCCAACTCTGGGTGGCATCCTGTCACTGGGATCCCCTAGCTGCCCTGTGTGTCCTGAGTTTCACAAAACCTCCTCATGGAAAAGGGTACCTTTGCTCCCTCCATAAAGGGAACCAGACTCACAGTGGCCTTCTGTTTCATGCCACCCTTCCCCCATTGTCTTTTAGACTCAGCCTCAGCATGGGCTCTGTTAGCAGTCCACCGCCTCCACAGCCTAAAGGGCATAACTGAGACCCAGGGATCTACAGACCCCCCTCCCCCCAGATGACCGATAAAAGATCAAGGGTCGGTGTAGCATTTTTAGTCCTTTCTTAATGACAGTGGGAGAATCATCTGAGCTGATATTTTGAGTTTAGTAAGGTAGTTAGGTAAAGTTTAGGGTATTTTGGAAGATGGATGATTGACTCTGAACTGAGCCATTGCTGACTATTCATTTGACAATAACTTGTAAATCTTAAGTCAATACCTTTCTTCTGCTTACAGCTCAAGGAGCTGGGACAAGTTATACAAATTCACTCCAGGCATCATTCCCAAATTTGAGTCTTAAGGATCCTTCATGTAACTTAAGGGTGAGTCTGGAGCAAATGTACAGAATTCCAGAAACGGTTTCAGAACTTTGATAAAAATATACATATTCTCACAGCATGTACTTCATTTAATGTCTGAAAAAATGTGATAGAAATGTGCATTTGAAAAAATATGTATACCTTCTTATGATTACAAGCTAACCTGTGTTAATTGAGAGAATTTGGAAAATACAGAGAAATATAAAAGATGGAAAATGAATCACTTCTATCCTACTATCTAAAGATAACCACTGTTAATATCTTGGCAAATTTCCTTCTAGTCTTTTTTCTATGCATGTTTGTGTATCTACACATACAACTGAACATTTTTTTCATTGTTCATTTGTTCTTCAGAAAATTTAGCTTTTTAAATATAAATAAGTAGGACATACTCATGAACAAAAATTTCAAGATGTACTAAAAGAATTTTTAAAGTATGTTTTCGCTTACCTCGGTTCCTTTCCCCACAGGCAGCTGTTGTTAACCATTTTCTTCTGTAAACATCCAGAGATAGCCTATGCACATATCATATTTCACTTTTTTTTTCTTTTTGTGCAAATGGTAGAACACTGTGCCCATTGTCCTGAGCTGAGAATTCTTGGAAATTGTTCCATATGAATCATTTGGGACCACCTCTATTTAGTCATTGTTTTTAATGTGTGCATATGGTTCTACTTTCTGGATGTATCACATTGTGTATAACCCTTTCTTGTGTGTGTGCATTTAGATCATTTCCAGTCTTTTGTTACTACAATGATTCAAAATAAATATCCTTATATTTACCTCTCTGTGCATTTTCTTGTTATTGAGTTTATTTTAACGATTTCAGAAGTGTTTTTGTTATTGAATTATATTACTGAGTGAGTGATTTGTGACCATAAATATCACATAGTCATTTCTGGTTGTTGTGTTATTAAATGGTGCAAAGTATTACCATAGTTGTTCTCGGTTAGCTTTTTATCTCGAGAAGTTAATCCTAGTATAATATCCTGATCCACATAAAGATATGTGGAATTTGTAGTCAGGCCTTAGGTCACAGTGCAATTTCATGGTTAAATTATAAAAGCTTTCATAAACATGTGTGAGGAAAACATTAACTACCCCTGCAGTAGAAATAGTTTTATGAAGAATGTGAGCTGTGAGAGATAACCCTGAGCAATAGAATTTCAGAGCTAAAATGGGTATTAGGGATTATATTGTCCAACCCCCTCATTGAACAAATAAGGAAATTTAGGCCTGAAGTACATCAGGTGATTGCCCACCACTATGGAACACCAGAACTGGGCCCAGGCCACACTCCTTCTTGTGTACCATGGTATATTTAATAAGCTACATACCAGTCATGCCATGGCTTATCCGTCATTTTTTTAAAGAATCAAAGATACTTCCTTTTTTCCTTCTGAATCTCTGTGATACTAGGTCATGAAACAAAATTGACTTAGGATTCAGATCCAGATTTTCTGAGCTTTTCCTACTATTGTATATCTAATATAAATTATACTGTCACTCTTGGTTAAAAGCTTGCCATATTTTTACTATTGTCTTTCTATTTTGTTGATGAAAGTAATTATATTCACTGTCTATGAGGCTATTGGGAACCCATGTGCTCTGTATTTAAATTTCTCCTTTAATTTGCTGTATTGATCTATGACCCTGATCATTAATTTGTTTAGTAAGCAGACACTGTGTCATATGGATTCAGCGAATTTCTCATAAAATTAGGAGGTAAATACCTGGATGTTAACTCATGCAAGAGTGCAAAGTGCTTTAAAAATTATAGTGACATTAAATGACACATGACACAACATACTATAGAATAAAAAAGTTGTGTCACTCTGCAATACAATGCTTTTTAAAATCTAGCTTTGATTTGATGTTATGTTTCTTTAATAGCTATGTAAATGTGAATGCACATCCATGTGGGGTTCCAAATTCTGAATAGTATTGTCAGCCTCTGACTAAGTCACTTACGATTAGTGATAAAAACATGTAAGTTACATGTTTTTCTTTAATTTAGACACAAAGACTTAGCTACAGACACAGCTTAATGAAGAGTAACTTCTCTCTTTTGGCTAGGATAGCCTCAGAGGAGGACTGTCATTTGAAAGCTGAACCTATCAGATGGTTGGCAGTATGTGGTATATGTACCTTACAAAGGACCTGTCATCTGAGAAGAGAAAGGGTCGGTTCAATCTTTCATTCTCTGATTAATTTCATTCTAGCCCTCAGAATTGGTAGCCGATTTTTCTTTTTCTTCTTCTTCTTTTTTTTTTTTTTGGTAGCTGATATTTAAGAACCAAGTCCACATGTGGCTTATGTGCAGCTAGGCATTATAGAAACACAATAACTAGACGTTATAGAAAAACAATAATATGCTAGCACTGTGCTAAGTGCTTTGTGTACATTTACTCTTCACAAAAAATTATTAAGATAGCTACTATTATTATCCTCATTTTGAAGATAAAGAAACAGACATGGAGGTTAAATAACTTGCTCAAGTTTACACACTTGGTGGCAGAATCAGGATTCATAGCCAGGTTTGTCTGGGTTAGAACTCCCCACTGTCTTTTTTTTTTATTTTTGAGTATATTTGTCACAGAAACGTTACCTTAGTTTCAGGTGTACAACATAGTGGTTTGACAAGTTTATACATTACGTTATGTTTACCACAAGTGCAGCTACAACCATCTGTCACCATACAAGTTAATATCATTGACTATATTCCTTATGCTGTGCCTTTTATTCCTGTGACTTATTCACTCCATAACTGGAAGCCTTCAACCATTTTGCCCATCTTCCCACACCGCTCCCCTCTGGCAACCATCAGTTTGTTCTCTGTATTTATAGGTCTGATTCTGCTTTTTGTTTGTTTATTCAATTTTTTTTTTAAGATTCCACATCTGAGTGGTATTTGTCTTTCTCAGTCTGACTTATTTCACTTAGCATAATACTTTCTAGGTCCACCCATGTTGTCACAAATGGCACAGTCTCATCCTTTTTTGTGGCTGCATAATATTCCATTACAGATCTCTAATATTCCATATATATAATATTCCAATATTTATAATATGTTACATATGTGTGGTATATATACGTATGTTATCCATATCTGTTCTTTACTGACAGGCACTTAGGTTGCTTCCATATCTTGGCTTTTGTAAATAATTCTACAATAAACATGGGGTACATGTATCTTTTTGAATTAGTGTTTTATATTCTTTGGATAAGTACCCAGTAGTGGAATTACTAGATTAAATAGTATTTCTATTTTTAACTTTTTTTTTAAAGATTTTATTTATTTATTTGAGAGGGAGAATGAGAGACAGAGAGCATGAGAGGGAAGAGGGTCAGAGGGAGAAGCAGACTCCCTGCCGAGCAGGGAGCCTGATGTGGGACTCGATCCCGGGACTCCAGGATCATGACCTGAGCCGAAGGCAGTCCCCTAACCAACTGAGCCACCCAGGCGCCCTCTATTTTTAACTTTTTGACGAGCCTCCTCCATACTGTTTTCCACAGTGGCCGAACAAATTTACATTCCCACCAACAGTGCCCAAGAGTTCCTTTTTCTCCACATCCTTGCCAACACTTTAGAACTCTCATTCTTAATCATACCGTGCATTGCCTCTGTGTTAAAGGGTCAGGTAGAATGTCAATCTGATGTTCCAACAGCTTGTTCTACTTGGAGCTATTATAGCAACTCTACAATATCATAACATCTGACTTTATTGAGCTGTTTTCAAACATCCTAATAAGCTAATTTAGCATATTGCATGTTCATTGTATTTTCGCTTTTTAAAAAGAAGAGTTGCCTTGTTCTTTGGCTATATCCATATATCCATATACCCATATAGAATATGGGATTTATGGAGTTAACTGCTCTTGCTATTCTTCTTTAGATAATTTAACTGTGAATGTGATACTTTTATTTTTTTCCTGGTAAGGATTCTATTGAGATATTTAAAGAGATGTGATATAAAGTGCCTCTGAAAAAAACTAACAGGGGATGTGACCTTATTCTTTATATTTGAAGCTCCAGAATGGGAGAAGTAAAGAACAAAGACTCAATGTGGGACAACTTGACCTTCAAAGTAAGGCCAATTTTTCTTTATATTCATTCTTTATAAATGCTTGATAACTCAAGTACATATTGTTGCGTTTTTGGAGTTGCCCATTTCCTTTATCTACATGTTCTGATTAAGCTCTCAAAATAAATAGCAGTTAAATTCTTAAAATGTAGCCACTGGCATTTCTAATTATTTAATGGATTAGCTTATTTGAATGTAAATACCTCCTACCCCATCAGCTTCATCATATTGGCTATATTTTTAAGAGATGTGCTATTTATTCCTGAAATGGAACTATAACCAGGCTATGTTAAACATTAATATAGCCGTGATAATGAATCATGTTAAACCAAATGTCTGGCAGCAGGAAGAAGAAAGGTTACTAGGATATTGTTTTATAACTCATTTTTTTAAATGATTTTATTTATTTTTTTGTCAAAGAGAGCACAAGCAGGGGGAGTGGCAGGCAGAGGGAGAAGCAGGCTCCCCGCTGAGCAGGGAGCCCAATGTGGGACTCGATCCCAGGACTCTGGGATCATGACCTGAGCCAAAGGCAGATGCTTAACCGACTGAGCCACCCAGGCGTCCCTGTCTTATAGCTCATTTAATAAAACTACAGAGGACATCTCTACAGATGACATCCCCTTACTCCTAAAAAGAAAGAAAATAATAGAATAAAAAACTAGTCATTTCAACCCCATACGAGCTCTCTCTTATCTCTTAAAACATCAGCACTTGATCCCATAACATCATTTTTAAAAAAGTGTATTTCTTTTTTTTTAAATATTTTATTATTTATTTATTTGTTTATTTATTTATTTATTTATTTGACAGAGACACAGCGAGAGAGGGAACACAAGCAGGGGCAGTGGGAGAGGGAGAAGCTGGCTTCCTGCTGAGCAGGGAGCCCGATGCGGGGCTGGATCACAGGGCCCTGGGATCATGACCTGAGCCGACTGAGCCACCCAAGCGCCCCAAAAAGTGTTTTTCTTTTGCTTGTCTCTCGTCCTCCTTGAAGTGAAGGCTGAGACTCGGTCTCATACTGTATTGTAGCTGACTGTGCTTCAGCACTTCTGGAGGCAGGGATCAGTAGGCAGGGAAGGAGGGCTCAGTCGTCCCTGAGGGGCTTGCAATTTGTCCCGCGTGCAGTGGCGATTGTGAATGCTCCCAGTAGAGCAGTGGCCCATTGGGAACCTTCTTTGTGTGGCAGACCCCTTGCCAAAATCTTCTGAGTCAGCCTTCATGCTGTCTGCCTGCACCTAGAAACTGAGAAGCATTTTGCCCAGATTCGCCAGATGGTATTGCTCATGCCTGTCATTCCCTACCTAGTATTCTGCTCTCCAGCAAAAGCTACCGAGAAGTGAATTTATTCCTGAAGTGACAGCATGTTTCTCAAAACATGGTGGTGAGAATTAGCATTCTGAAAGCTGTTTAAAAGGAAAACAGGAGACCTGGTAGATTTGGATAGGAATGAAAAACAGTTGGTGTTCTTTCCATAGCGCACCCTGATGGCAGGTTTCTCCTTAATTGTAATGATACTGGGTGTTATATGCAACTGATGAATTACTAAACTCTCCCTCTGAAACTAATGATATACTATCTGTTGGCTAATTGAATTTAAATTAATAAAAATGTCATGACACAGATGAGATGGGTAAGGCTCCCAGCACCGGTGGGGACCCTTCGGAGAGCTAGGGACCTGCTTTTGCCTGGACCTGGTTTACTGGCTAGTAGAGAAAAAAGCATTTGTATTGATTTGGACTTCCAAATAGATTCGGTTGGATGATGATGATGATTACTACAATTTATTAAGCTCTTACGAAGTGCCTTAACCTGAGATAGGCATAGTACATAGGTTATTTTGTGTGGTTTTTTATTCTGTTAATCCATGATTGCTTAAATACAAAATGAAAAAGAGAAATTTCCTTTTAATCCCAAGTATCAGATGACCACTGTTAACATTTGATTTATATACCTCTAGATTCTTATTTTTAAGCATATATATGTGTAAGCATATGCACGCAAATACGTATTTTTAAGTATGTGGGATTAATATTATCCATGTTATTCAATAATCCATTTTCACTGAATATACCCTGCATATCTTTTCATGTTAAATACATAAAGATCTTTCTTATCCTTTTTAACATGTATAGTATCCATTATGTGTACCATGATTTATTTAGCCAGTTTCATGTTGGTGGATTTTTAAGTATTTTTCTAGTTTGAAGCTATTATAAACAATTATTCGGTAGATATTTTTGCATACTTGCTCTATTATTTCCTTAGGATAAATTTCTAGAAGCAGAATGTTGGTTTAGAAAGTATTGCCAGTTGTCCTTTAAAAAGACCGTTTCTTTTTTTTTTTTTAATATTTTATTTTTTTGAAGTAATCTCCACACCCGATGTAGGGCTTGAATTTACAACCCCAAGATCAAGAGTAACATGCTCTACTGACCGAGCCAGCCAGGTGCCCCTAAAAAGACTATTTCAGCTTACACACTTGAAAGTGCTCATTTCCCCCAAACCTTACAAATACTGGCATTGTCTTTGCTTGTCTTTAGGCATTCTTATTTTTGTAACAATCTTATAAGGTAGATGTTGGTATGTTCATCTTTGGGATTTAAAAACAAAACACAACGAAACACCCTGAGACTTTAGGAGGAATCTTACCTAAGATCACAGAGCTCCTCGGTGATGGTGCTAGGGTTTGAGCCAGCCATTTATGGCTTCAAAGCTGGTAGTTTCTCCACTCTCTGCGCTAATAAAGTCATTTTTAACTAATGTTATTGGCTTTAGGCTCATCTATATTTGCTAGGCTCACTGTCCTCTATCTTGCCATTGCCATTTTATTTTATGACCTCTCAATATCACTGGACTAAGAAAACATGGCCATCTGTTGCACCAGTGACAAATATAAGTAAATTTTCCCTTCTCTGCAGTCTCTAAGGCTGCCCCTCTCAGTGCTGCCCACAGTTTCAGCATAGGAAAGAAAGCTATCGATGTTGTTGGGTGATGAGGTTATTGGATTCTCCGTATCTGTTTAAAAATTCATCAAGTCACCCGGTCCTCACCTGGAGAAGGGCAAGGGAGAGCCTTTTTTCCCTTGCTCTTTAAGCAGTTTTTCTACCTACCCCCTGCACAGCAGGCGGACTTGTGTTTTCTTATCAGTTGGGTTCTTCAGTGTGTGGTTGGAACTGTGGGGCTGAGTAGAGCAAAGAAGAGATAGTAAGGGGAAGAAAATAAGGGAAGAAAACAGCTGAGAAATAAAGAAACGCAGACAGCATGGGAGTGGTCTCAGGTGTCCTTCAGCTTTGTAAATGATTTCTCTCTCATCCCCCAGGAGAATCAGTGAAGGCATCCATCCAGGAATCAGGAGCATTTCCACCGCGGGTACAGAATAAATGATCTGATTTGGTATTGTACTGTATGCACAGTATCTGTGCAGAACACTGGCTTCTTTAGGACGTCTGTCCGTTAATAATTCTCTGGGACAAGAATAGGATATGCTGAGAGTGCCGCTCCCCTGGGAACTCTCCTGGGGAGGAACTTGGGTAGAGCCAAGAGAAAAATGCTGATGCGGATTGCATTCGTGAACTTTGGAATGTGGGGATATTCCAGAGCGGCAGTTCTCCTCTTAGCTGAGTGATTGCTGAATGTGTCAGTGAGCAGTGACACTGAACCTTGACTTGCTCTGGCTTCTTTTTTAAAGGCCGAAACCCCTTCTCCATAAGGAGGCAATAGAAGGCCTCCTTTTGCACTGGTTTGGAAAGATACCACTTGTATAACCTCAGGTTACTGTAGAAACATATGACCCATCCTTTCTCTCAGCTTTAAATTGTCTTCATCCTGCAGAGCTAAGTCATGTGTAAAGAGACTGTGATTTTCATTAAAATTAAAAACCGAGACAGCTTGTCTTCAGCACATTACCTAAATAGAGAAAAAAATGTGAAATTAACGGGAAATGTCAGCTGTGGTGACTTCAGGCTGTGTCTCTTGCATGACTCACCCGGCAACAGGAAGTTTGAGGAAATCCAAAAGAAAAGATGGTATATGTGTGGGACCTTATGGAAACAGAGCAATGTCCAGAGTTTTTAAACAATCCCTGCTTTCCTTTCCAGCACATACCAGAAGAGAGATACAGGATGCAGAGCAAGCCCCTAGGAATCTGCCTGATAATCGATTGCATTGGCAATGACACAGGTAGGTATGGACGCTGTGGATTAACTGATGCCCCACAGCGAGGTCACAGTGAGCCCAGACAAGCTGTGTTCATCGGTGATCAACGCGACCGATTACAACAAACCGCTGAGGAAGGCTAGGGCTTCGCATAGCGGGCGGTGTTTCTCACTCATGTCACAGCCTAGTGTGCATTGGTCTGGAGTGAGCTTCGTTCCATGTGATCAGTCAGTGACTTCATCATCTGAAGCCTTGGGGTTTTCCACAGGATCCTCTGTATCTGGCTGGTGGATGAAGGAAGTGCGTGGAGGATCTCACAAGAAATTTTAGGGACTGGTCCCGAAAGTGAGGTGCATCATTTCCATCCACATTCCATTGGTCGAACTCACTCCTGGGACCCCACCTAACTGCGGTAGACAAGGAGCTCAGACTGGCTACATGCCAGGAAGGAAAGGGAAGGGAATTTGGGGAGAACAAAGCATTGTTTCTGGTACAATGGTGTGATTGCTTGAAAGTTGGGAGCTTCAGTCTTGCTTTTTCATGCTGGATGCTGCAGCAGGGAGGGGTCCTGGGATCCAGAGTGGGGTTTAAAATGGAAGGCTTTCTGGCTTCGGTGTTATCAGATGTCCCATCATTTCATATAGCTAGACTATGAAAGCTTTTCTGGGGAAAAAGTAAAAAATATTGTAAATGTGTGTTCACTTAGAGGCAGTGTGTTACTTAGTTCTGCCACCCTGTCCTTGGGTTGTCTGCTGGAGTCTGTACTACTCGTGTGTTACCATTGTTTGGATCTGGACTGATTCTCTTGCTCAGTTGTTGTTGGATGTCCTACTCAAACTGAATCAATCACTGGTGATGCGTCAGAGAGAATAAGAATCTCATTGTGAAAGAACATGTTTAATTATTTATCTCTCCCTCCGAAGGGTTGATCATCACATTTCCACAGTTTTCTTGCTTTTCAGAATTCTTGGAATGAGTCAGATCCGTCTTTTAGGCTCACTTAAAATGTTACCATGGTGAGTTGTATGGGAAGAGAATCTAAGAGAAGGTCAAATTAGCAAATATTAGGTTGAATTTCCCAGGACTTCAGATATGATCTCATTTTTCTCATGTCCTCTTTTTGGTTAGATGTGAGACATGCTGTCTCCTCAGCTATAGATAAGTGTCTTTTCTCTCTTAGCCATTAGTACCGATATAAGAATGAGAAAATATTTCCTTAATGAGTAACTTCCTGCTTTAAAAGAGAGTATTTGTCTTCCACTTTCTATTATAATCAGTTTTGTTTCATTCGTGCAGTTCCCAACTGCAGGATGTATATCTGTTGTATGAAGAGAATCATAAAGCCATGACCTGCTGTGAGTTTGTGACTAAAATCCAGTGTCTGTGTTTACTTCCCTTGCTGAGTTATGGGCCTCTTGTGTGCCAGGATTGAATGTGTATTTGTGTTTTCCTGTATTATAGGAGCATGGTCAGAGTTGGGTCCTGGAATATGACTGTGTGAGTTTGAATCATGGCTCTGCCATGTCCTGGTATGTGACCTTGGACAATTTTCCTAGCCTCTGTAAGCCTCAGTTTCTCTTCTTCTTCTTTTTTTATTTTTTTAAAGATTTGAAAGAGAGAGAGAGAGAGAGTGCGCGTGTGTGCACACAAGTTGGGGGAGGGGCAGAGGGAGCAAATCTTCAAGCGGACTCCCTCCTGAGCGCTGAGGCTGACCTGTGGACTTGATCCCATGACCCATGAGATCATGACACATGAGATCATGACTTGAACGGAAACCAAGAGCGGGACACTTAACTGACTGCACCACCCAGGTCCCCCTCAATTTCTCTTCTATAAAATGGTTAGATAACAGGACCTACCTCTTGGGGAGGCTGGGAAAAGTGAAGGAATTCACACTTGTAAAGGGCTTAGAGCCCATACATTACTATTTCTACAGCAAAATGAATGGATATTCACACTAAGTGGAATAAAGATTAGCAATAGCCTCTCGTCGGTTTAGGAAAGGTTTTGCCACAAAATGAATCAGGGAAAAGAACTTAAGGTTTTCAGAGCTTTTGGGGTTTCTGAGTTGTGGATAAGGAGTTGCGGATATGTGGAAGAGTACCTTGAGGTTGCCTGAGGGGCCCTACAAGCATCTTTGACGTGCAATAGACAGATTTATTATTGATATTGTTTTCTCCTAAGAAGAGCTAGTCCAGAAGGAATTACTAGTAACCATTTGTATTTAAAAAGAAGATATCTAAAAAGTAGTTTGTAAGTTTGAGTGAATGTAGGTTGTCCATTAAAACCCCTTGGTTGGTCTATGGAAACAAATGAAAAGTCAGACTTACACAAAGCTGACTTTACCACTGCTTCCTAACTCACTCATTCTTCTGTCCTTGTTTATGATCATTCCCCTACTTGGGGGGGCCTCCCCTTTCTTCTGTTTTGTCAGGCCCCCGCCTGAATTATACCTCTACTACAGTCTCATCTCCAGGTGTCTCAGACTGCACTGACGGTCCCTCCTTTGACCCCTTATTGTACCTAAAATCCCGCTGTACTGCATGACATGTCAGTCATTGTTTTGTGCATATTTATAAGCTCCCCAACTAGATGATAGGCTCCTTGAAGGGCAGGTACCTCATTCGTATTTCCCAACATGAAATACAGTGTTTCTGCAACATAGGGAGAGGAACTTCTTAAAACATGAGTTTTGGGGTCAAGCAAATTTGAGAAATGATGAATAGTTTGTTCCTCCTTTGGAGATTTGCATATTGGTCTTAAAGACTGAGGAGTCCTCCTGTAAAGAAGCTTATTTAAATCTTAACGTTACATTTCACATTTATGTTTGACTTCAGAACTCCCCTTCTCATTAAGAATATCCTGCCCAACTGTGTTCCATTTGTATACCTTTTTTTTTAAATATTTTATTTTTTTATTTGTCAGAGAGAGAGCGTGCGCACACACAAGCAGAGGGAAGCAGCAGAGGGAGAGGGAGAAGCAGGTTTCCTGCTGAGCAGGGAGCCCGACTCAGGGCCCAGGACCCTGGGATCGTGACCTGACCAGCTGAACCACACAGGTGCCCCCATTTGTATGCTTTATTATAATTAGAACTGGGCTCATACAAGGTGCTAATTAAGTAGTGGTAAATAGACTGATGAAACGCTCCCTCCTTCTTATTCTATACATTGATTTAATGGACTTCTTTTTATAGATTGTGGCAAGATTAATGCAAACTCATTTGATTTTATTTTAAGATTTTATTTTTAAGTAATCTCTACACCCAGGTGGGCCTTGACCTCATGATCACATGCTCTACTGACTGAGCCAACCAGGTGCCCCAATGTGAACTCATTTTAGATGAGAACAAATTCTAAATGAATGGCTTCATGACTTTTTACTGTGTATAGTTTTTTTGGATTTCATCTCAATTACCCCCAAACGTGTGGGTGGTGCTGACCCTAGCCCTTGTCCTAACTGCAAGGCCACATGAAAACTCATCATTTTGGGAAGTTGAGGTTTACAGAGATGGGGCTAGGTCAGGAGTGAGGTTCCCAGGGCGCGTGGAAGGAGAAGTGTGATTTCTGCATTCGTTCAAGTTTTATGTTCCAAACTCGGCATCCAAGTTTTTCTTCCCCTATTTGAGGGAAATGACAAGGCAGCTCCTGTGATAAGTGGGACATAGAATCTGACTGCTCCCAGCCCATCTTGATGTAGGCTAGAGACACTTCCTTGTGGAGGTCCCTTCTAAGGAGAAGCTTCCATGAGAGAGATGCGTGGCAGGCTCCATGATTTGTGGTGAAATGGCTGCCTTTCTTTTCAAGATTTTATTTATTTATTTGACAGAGAGAGACACAGTGAGAGGGAACACAAGCAGGGGGAGGGGCAGAGGGAGAAGCAGGCATCCCGCTGAGCAGGGGGCCTGATGTTGTGGGGCTCGATCCCAGGACCCCGAGATCTCAACCTGAGCTGAAGGCAGACGCTTAACTGACTGAGCCACCCAGGCGTCCCTGCCTTTATTTTCTTTAAAATTAATATCTGACATTTGCATAAGCACTCATAGTTGCAAAGTGTCTTTACAGACATCTCCCCTGATCCTCACAGGCACCTTTTGAAGAACATGGTATAGGCATTAGTATTAATCACATTAATTACAGATGAATAAGCTAAGACAGTTAATTTATTCAAACTCACACCGTCATTATTCCCTGGATCTTATAAATCAGACCAGGCTATACCCATGTTCTTGCTGGCCCAAGAAAGAAGGTTGCAAAGGCCAGCTAGCATCAGCCCTCCCTATCTGATAGAGGAAAGAGGTGACATTATGGGAAATCTCGACTATGATGACTTCCAGCTGTGTCTCCTGAGGTGACTGGGCGGCCAGAGGCTCCATCTTGGTCTGAGGTACCTCCAGATTTGCTGTTCTTACTGGCTTTGGGGGACGTGTCACGTTTTTGGCTTCACCTCCCCTTTATTCTTCTCTCTCCTGTCCTATTAGGGAAGCACTTCCTGCCCCAGACATCAGATTCCCATCCCCTTCCTAGCCCCTCTGTTGGCGTAAGTTAGTTTTTCCAGGACCAGGCAAGGCTCAGACCCAGCAGATAGGTAGAGGAGCCAGGATTGAAACTCAGATCTTGTGATTCCAAGACGGGTTCCTCTTTGGCTGGTGCCACGCAGCTGCCTGCTCACTGTTGTGTGACAACCCCCACTCTGGCCGGAACCCACTGGGGACCCAGAACAAGGAAAGAGATGGAAGGCACGGGATGGCCCTTGTTCTGTCCCTGACCCCGGCATACCATCTCGGAAAGACAGACTATGGCTTTGCTTCGAGGACTTTGATAAGGGAGGAAATCTATCAGTGAGGAGAGGGTTTTGAGGGAAGTGAGTCAGTCTGAGAGAAGTAAACAATAGCTTTGAGTCTGGAGTTTCCCTGTTTGCTTCTGCCCCCTGGAGGAAAGAATATGCCACGACATGAGAGTCCTCGAAGACTTGGGAATCAAACAGTAGTGATGAACCGGGGTCCTTGCCTGGATGCTCTTTGTCCGGTCCTGTGTTCCAACCTGAGCGCAGTACTGGGTATGGAAGGCTTGCCTACACCTGCTGAGGTGAAGGCCAGGGGGCAGTGCTGGTGGGCTTTTTCTACCACACTGAGATCCTGCGGGGATGAGTGAGCTATTATTAGCTTCTCCAGCAACCTGTGTATTACGTCCTTCATTTCCGTCATAATATTTATTTATCATAGGGTTTCCAGGAGATTAGCACCTTCTTTATATCTCTCCATTATTATGTGATGTATAATTCTTTTTTTTTTTCACCCTTACCTGTGGGCCAGACGAAAAGGACGTAGCCTAACTACATCTTTAAGTAATGGTCATTATCATTCCCTTTTCCCGATTCACCTGGTGAATTATTTATCTAATAATGTGTAAAAATCACTCCAAAATTTAGTGGCTTAAAATAACAATATTAATTTATTTATATCTCTCACAGTTTCTGTGGAGCAGGGATTTAGGGGTAGCTTAGCTGTGCTGTTCTGGCCCAGAGTCTCTTGGCAGATTGTGGTCAGATTTCAGCTAGGGTCATCCAAAGGCTTGATTGGGCTTGAAGGATCCCCTCTGGTGGCTCATTCATGTGGCTGTGAAGTTGGTGCAAGGCCTTAGTTCTTCTTCATGTGAGCTTCTCCACAGGACTGCTTGAGTGTTCTCATGACATGGTGACTGGCTCCCCCCAGAGTGAGCTGTTCAAAACAGAGAAAGAGCCAGGTAGAGGCTGTATCCTTTTTATGATCTAGCTTTGGAAGTCACATAGTATCCCTTTTGCCGTATTCATTAGAAATGAGTTACCAAACATGGTCCACATTCAAGGGGAAAGGAATTACGCTCTTTTTAAGGAAGGAGTGTCAAAGAATTTGCGGACGTATTTAAAACTGCCATATCTGGTAGATGTGGGGCCACAATTAATCCCAGCTCTCCCGAATCGGAAGTTCTACTAGACCCAATATGAACATATCCAGGGACTGCCCATGGGCCGGGTGAATTAAACTCAGAGCACTCAGGAGAGTTCTTATTTGTCCAGTGGCTGGTTTTTCCAGCTTTTTGTTTATGCAAGGCTGTGTTTCTTTTTCTAGCTTTCCCTTTGTAGTTCCTGTTGAGACGCCAGAAGAGAAATTGTGATAGCTACCTTTGACTTTTATAGTTTATTAGTGGTTGGTAACGTCTGCAGGGCAAGAAGCCTGAAACTGTTGGTTGAAGCTATGAGTCTTTGAATTATTTGTGACTAGTCAGACTTCATGTTGTTTCCATTTAATGCAGAGAGTTGACAGTTTGTGGCAAACAGTTATGTGGTAATTTCAGCGGAATCATTTCTCTCTCCTTTCTGTGATGCCTGCACTGGTATGAGATGGGACCCTTTTGTTCCTTGGTAGAAGTTCTATCTGTTTGAATTACTAGTGTGTTGTTTGATTTGGGGTGGTAGTGGTAGACTTCTGGAAGACCATACCCCAGGGGATGAAGAGAGGTGGGTACATAGTCACGAGACATGGAGAGAAATCCAGAGAAGTTGGCTAAGGGTTTGGGTAACAATCTGAATTTAGAGATGCCTGTTTAGCTTAGGGAATAGCAATTTTTCTGCTCTGCAAATGAACTAAGAAGTGGAGGCATCCCTCAGACAAGGAACAGAAACTTAATGGGTTACTCAAAGGGATGTGGAATTTTTAATGAGGAAGAGAAAGATGTGTCTGTCTCTGCTATTAGAAAGATTTATAACAAAGCAGGAGACTGTATTTACCTCTCTGAGGAAGGCAACCTGAGCAGATGGGAAAGAAATGGACTAGGTAGGCTATAGAAATTTCTAAAAGATGGAAACAAGATTTTTTAAACAAGGGAATGGAGCCCCAGGAACTTTATTTGTATTATCTCATTTAATCCTCACAACACGCTCACAGGGTGGGTATCATCACTTCCATTTAAAGCTAGGGAGACCCACTTCCTTAAGGTCATGCAGCCCACAGGTGTGGTTAAGGTCAGTGTTAGAAGGCAGGCTTGTCTGGCATAAACTCTGCCTTTTCCACTGCCTTCCACTGTTTCTGCAGGCAAAGTCAATCCAGGATTCCTGGAAACTAGGAGAAGAATTCTTGGGGGCACTACAGGAAATCTTGGATTCCTCTGCTCAGAGATAACACGGGGAAGCAGGTCATGAGAGGAACTGGGGAGTTTGGAAATGGTCACAACTTAGACGTAGGGGCCTCTGTATCAGCCCACAGCCTGGGAAGATGAGGGAACACGTGACCCGGGCCATCCTCTCTGCAGCCATTTGGACCTAGATTTGGATCTACGCTCTGCAGATGCATCCATTTCCTACATATTTGTGTGTTAGTTTAAGAAAGAGCCTTTTGAAAAATCCCCAACTTTGTTTTGGTTGAAGAGAAAAAGTTTTGTTCCCCCTTTGGTTGCACTGGACTAGAAGTAGGCTCAGTCTGTGCCTGTGGCCAGATGTGGAGGTAGCCTCTGGCAGGGACAGATGGGAACTGAGAACCTGGGACATGAATTTCGTGTGTTTCAGGTTGATTTCTTCCTGCTGCGCGCTTAGGTCCTTCAAAACCTCAAAATATGGCACAAAAGCAGAAATGGATAAGTAGTGGAGATCGGACTGTGCTTAGGGTTGCTACCCGGTCCCTCTTAAGCTTTTCTCACCCGAGTGTTGTTTTCTCTGTGTGTTTTGTTTATTTTATCCAGAGTTTCTTCGGAACACCTTTACTTCCCTGGGCTATGAAGTCCAGTATTTCTTGTATCTGAGGATGGACAGTATCATCCAGATTCTTCGCCAAGTTGCCCGCATGCCCCAACATGAAGACTATGACAGCTTTGTGTGTGTCCTGGTGAGCCGAGGCGGCTCCCACAGTGTGTTTGGCGTGGATCAGACACACTCGGGTTTCCCTTTGGATCAGGTCAGGAGGATGTTCATGGGAGATGCATGCCCTTCTCTCTTAGGGAAGCCAAAGCTCTTTTTTATTCAGAACTATGTGGCGTCAGAGGACCCGCTGGACAACGGCAGCTTGCTGGAGGTGGATGGACCAGCCGTCAACAATGTGGAATCCAAAGCCAAGCAGCCTGGGCCAGGCACCATTCACCGAGAAGCGGACTTCTTCTGGAGCCTGTGCAAGGCGGATGTGTCCCTGTTGGAACGGCCCTCCAGCTCTTCTTCATTGTACCTGCAGTGCCTCTCCCAGAAACTGGGGAAAGAAAGGTGAGCCCCCTGGGTCGGCTGTGGCCCATCCCTGGACCGCTTGTCTCTCTTCTTGCTACCAAGATGGAGATGGCCACTGTGTCACCTTTGATGCTCTTCTCTTCAGGGAGAAAGGACTTTTCATTCCGTGTTGGAGTTGCCTTAGGAGGAGGTGCATTTTATGAATGCTTTGTGCTTCAGGAGGTCACTTGCTAGTCAGCTTGTAGTTTAGATCTTATTCTTCAAAATAAATTTTTAATTGTTTTTTTTAATTACAAAAGCAGTACATCCTCCTTACTGAAAACAAAAACAAAAGCAAAAACCATGAAATATAAATGCCGAAAGCTGAATATAACAAGCAGTTATAGTCCTACTTATTAGAATCAATCTCTGTTAGCCACATCTTGGTGTATTGCTTTCCAGATATTTTTTGGATACCTGCACAATCATATCTAAATGTTTTTTAAACCAAAATGGAATCATCATCTACTATTACTTTATAATCTGCCTTTAGTTGATATAACGGTATATCACATACATTTTACATGTCAGTAGTCTACAACATCATTTTAATGTCTGTGGAGCAGTCTAGAATACGGCTATGGCATACTTGACCCATTTTCAGTTGTTGAAAGGTGTTTTGCTTTCATAAAAGGAAAGCGTTCAGTACCTTTGTAGCTCAGTATTCGTGCTTATCCATACTGTTTTCTTGAGGAACATTCCCAGAAGAATTGCTGTGTTAAACGAACATGCATTTTTAAAGGCTTGGATGCATCTTATCATATGGTCCTCTAGGACGGTTGTACCCACTCTGCAGGAGAGTGCCTGTGTCCCCAAATTCTGCCCGACACCGCATGCTCTTTTATTTCCCTGTCCCGACAGTTTGAGAGGTGGAAAGTGGTACCTGACTCCCCACGTCTGCAAGTCTTTGTTATACAGACATTTCTGATGCTTATTGGCAAGAATACTTTTCTAGGGGCGCCTGGGTGGCTCTGTCGTTAAGCGTCTGCCTTCAGCTCAGGTCATGATCCCGGGGTCCTGGGATCGAGCCCCGCATCGAGCCCCGCATCGGGCTCCCTGCTCCGCGGGAAGCCTGCTTCTCCCTCTCCCACTCCCCCTGCTTGTGTTCCCTCTCTCGCTGTCTCTCTGTCAAATAAATTTAAAAAAATTATTAAAAAAAAAGAATACTTTTCTAAGGGAAACCTCAGTGATCTGGTTTGCATTTAAGAAGATTATTCCCATGTAAGAGTAGCAGTCATTTTTCAGTTGTCCCCTCATTACAATTTAGAATGAAGTTTTGGAGCCATGTGCGAAATGCATGTTGTAGCTCTGGGGACCCCAGGAATATATCGCACGGCCTGTGACACTCGTGCCCCCAACCCCTTCAGTCATGGCTCAGCAGTACGGAGTGGGCTGTAGCAGAAATGATTCAGCCTTCCATGGGCCAGCAGTATTCTTGGCATCCACCCTGCATTTGCATAGATGATCCAGGTGCGTTAACATCTGGCTGGAGTGTCTCCAGGATAAGACTCAGCTGCCCCTTGGGTGAGGGGACTGTGGTCATTGGGCCAGAGTGCTGCCAGCTGGTTTGGATCACTCACTAAGCAGCTTGTAGAGCATTTAAAAAGGAACGATTTCAACACACTGTCACATCTGTTGGCTCATTTCAGCCTAACGGCGATCTGTGTCCTCTTTGATATTTGCATGGCATTAATTTTTGCCTTTCTCATTCCCTCCAGAAGACGCCCGCTCCTCGAACTCCACATTGAACTCAATGGCAGCGTGTATGACTGGAACAGCAGAGTGTCTGCTAAGGAGAGGTACTATGTCTGGCTGCAGCATACTCTGAGAAAGAAGCTTGTCCTCTCTTGCAAATGAACAGCCAAAAGTCTTTCCTAGCCCTGCCGTCTCCACCACTAGCCAGAGGTAGTTTTCAAACGAGTCTATGTGTCATGTGGGGGAAGGTGAGGTCCCGTAGGTGCTGAAATGAGCCTCTGTGAGGAATGGGGTCAGGAGGGTGTGTTTGGTGAGGGACGCAAACATTCAGTGCACAACTGTGCCCTTATAATTCGAGATTGCTTGTCTGTCTGGGACTCAAGTGGTATTTTACAGCTAATCATGTATACCTTTCTTTCTCAGATTTGATGAGATGACCTAAAAGCAGGTCGTTATTTAAAATATCATTTAAAGTTTAAAAAAAATTATTTATTTTTATATTTTTTGACTTGCTGTTAAATGGTATGTGTCTCTATGTGTAAATGCAGTAAAATATTTCAAGTCTTATAATAGCCCCAAACTGAAAATTCACACAGTGTTCAGGAATAAGAGTATGGTTATGATGTAATGTTCACTGATTGGTATTTTATGTAACCATTAAAATTATGTTTATAAATAATAAGAGCTTACATTGAGCTGTTATTAGCTCATTACATAAATTACATGGATTATCTCATTTAATACCCCCTCAAAAACAGCTCTATGAGGTAGGTATTACTGCTCTCATCATTTTTCTTCCATTTTATAGATGAGGAAAATGAGCACAGTGATGTTAAGCAGCTTACTCAGGGTCACCCCATACTAGGATATAAACTCAAGCCATATAAAGAGAGCCACTTTGGGGCCCAAATCCTTAACCAGTTCACAATATGGCCTTGACAGAACATCATAATGAGAAAAATGCTCATATATTCATGTTACCTGGGAAAGAGTACAAAATAGTCTGTTTATTGTAACTATGCTTAAAAGAAAAAAACCCCCTCATAGGAAAACAAAAGGCCAGAAAGAAATGGTTCAAATGCCATATGGGTGACAGACCTATGGCTGATATTTTCTCTTTCTGTTTTCCAAATTCTCATCTCTTTTTGTCTACATACTTGAGAATATTGGCTTCTGCCTTAAAGCCTAGGTAATTCCTTTCAACTTTCAAGTAGTTGGTTCTTCATCACTGACAAAACTACCCCTCTCTTCTTACTTTTGTCCTCACTTCTCTCTAGCCCCTCTTTTCCAGAAGCAGGACCCCTAGTCTCAGGGCTACTTTTCTGAGCCACTGGTTAGGATGACTGTTTAGTCAGCCCCTCATTGACCCTCATCCCTACCCCTGTTCTAGCCCATTCCCCAGGTCCTTCAACCCTCTTCCTAGAATAGGTCATCGTTGGGGTCACTTGAAACCTTCTTCTCTCTGCAGTGTTTGATATGAGAATCTCTTCTTGCCCTCTGAGATTTTAGGAGCAAGTGTTCAGGATTGAGGATGTTATTTATGCTGCCAAGAGGTCAGAGTTTGAGGTCAACCATGTCAATTTGTCTGTGTTCAGACTCCACTTGCTGTCCCCACAGACTCATTTTCTTTTTCCTTAGTGATAGAAAACTTGATTTGTAACGGGGCACAAAGCTTCACAGAATATAGTCTACTTGGCCAAGCTCCAGACTGTAGCTAGATGTGGTCATGTGTCCAGGTCCTGGCCAATAACATGTTGGCAACAGTATCATTTGGCAGCTGCTGAAAACTTTCCTCCAAAGGCAGTTGTTGTTTTTTTCAATATGGTACTGGCACAAAAATAGATGCATAGATCAACAGAACAGAATAAAGGGCCAGAAACAAACCTATGATTATATGGTCAATTAATCTATGACAAAGGTGGCAAGGATGTGCAGTGGGGAAAAGATGGTTTCTTCAACAAATGGTGTTGGGAAAATGAGATAGCTACATGCAAAAGAGTGAAACTGGACCACTTTCTTAACTGTACACAAACACAAACTCAGACTGGATTAAGGACCTAAGTGTGAGACCAGAAACCATAGAAATCCTAGAAGAGAGCACAGGCGTAATTTCTCTGACATTGGCTGTAGCAACATTTTTCTAGTTGTGTCTCCTGAGACAAGGGAAACAAAAGCAAAAATAAACTATTGGGACTACATCAAACTAAAAAGCTTCTGCACAGCAAAGGAAACAATCAAGAAAACTAAAAGGCAACCTACCGAATGGGAGAAGATATTTGCAAATGACATATCTGATTAAGGGTTAATATCCAAAATATATAAAGAACTTAGCTCAACAGCCAAAAAACAATCTGATTGAAAATGGGCAGAATACATGAAGAGACATTTCTCCAAAGAAGACATACAGATGGCCAACAGATACATGAAAAGATGCTCAATATCAGTCATCATGAGGGAAATACAAATCAAAATCACAATGAGATATCACCTCATATGTGTCACAGTTGCTGAAATCAAAAAGGGAAGAAATGCAGCCACTCTGGAAGACAAGGGATGTTCCTCAAAAAGTTAAAAATAGAGCTACCCTATAACCCAGCAATTGCACTACTAGGTATTTATCCAAAGGATACAAACATAGTGATTCATAGGGGCACATGCACCCCGAAGTTTATAGCAGCAATGTCCACAATAGTCAAAATACGGAAAGAGCCCAGATGTCTATCAACAGATAAATGGATAAAGAAGATGTCATACACACACACACACACACACACACACACACACACACACACACACAATGGAATATTACTCAGCCATCAAAAACAATGAAATCTTGCCATTTGCAATGACGTGGATGGAACTAGAGGGTTTTGTGCTAAGTGAAATAAGTCAGAGAAAGACAAATATCATATGATTTCACTCATGTGGAATTTAAGAAACAAAACAGATGAACATAGGGGAAGCAAAGGAAAAATAAGATGAAAACAGAGAGGGAGACAAACCATAAGAGACGCTGAACTCTAGGAAACAAACTGAGGGTTGCTGGAGGGAAGGAAAGTGGGGGGATGCGGGAACTGGGTGATGGGCATTAAGGAGGGCCTTTGATGTAATGAACACTGGGTGTTATATGCAACTGATGAATCATTAAATTCTACCTCTGAAACTAATAATGCACGTATGTTAATTAAATTGAATTTAAGTAAAAAAAAAAAAAAGAAGAAGAAATAACGGGTGCTGGCAAGTATGTGGAGAAAAAGGAACCCTCGTGCACTGTTGGTGGGAATGAAAACTGGTGTAGCTGCTGTGGGGAATGGTATGGAAGTTCCTCAAAAAATTGAAAACAATTATTATATGATCCAGCAATTCTACTATTTACCTAAAGAATACAAGAACACTAATTCAAAAGGATATATGCACCCTTATGTTTATTGCAGCATTTTATTTGCAATAGCCAAGATAGGGAAGCAACCCAAGTGTCCATCCATAGATGAATGGATAAAGAAGATGTGGTATATATACATATACGCAGTGGAATATTACTCATTCATAAAAAAGAATGAAATCTTGCCATTTGCAACAACATGGATTGATCTAGAGGGTGTAATGCTAAGTGAAATAAGTCAGTCAGAGAAAGACAAATACCATATAATTTCACTCATGTGGAATCTGAGAAGCAAAACAAAAGAACAAAGAAAAAAAGAGGCAAACAGACTCTTAAATACAGGAAACAAACTGATGGCTACTAGAGGGGAGGTGGGGAGGGTGGGTGAAATAGGTGAAGGGAATTAAGAGTACACTTATCATGATGAGCGCCTAGTAATATACAGAGTTATTGAATCCCTATATTGTATACCTGAAACTAAAAGAACACTGTATGTTAACTATATTAGAATTAAAATTTTAAAAAGGCAGTTGTTTATTGTCCTTCAGCTTTTCTTCTTTTTCTTTTTTTTATTTATTTATTCATGAGAGACAGAGAGAGAGAGAGAGAGAGAGAGGCAGAGGGAGGAGCAGGCTCCCAAGGAGCAGGGAGCCTGATGCGGGAACCGATCCCAGGACCCTGGGATCACGACCCGAGCCGAAGGCAGACGCCCAACCATCTGAGCCACCCAGGCGCCCCTGTCCTTCAGCTTTTCATCCTTTCCTCTATCTTGCTGACTAGAATGTAGTTGGCTGGAGCCATCTGTGAGGAGAAGGGCTACACTGTAGGGATAGCTAAGTGGTGAGCAGGAAGGAGCCTTCTTGGATAAGGGCAGGGTCTGGATTTTTATGTGAGAGAAAAAATGTAGGATTTATACTTCTTTCCTAACACAGTCCAACTGATGCATTATTATCTGATTAAAATGTTTAGAATGTTTATGTATGTTATAAGTTCAAAAGAAAAATTTGTCTAAATGATTTTAATTTTCTGATTATTGTTTAAAAATGTATGCACACTTAAAATCTGAGCTACCTATATGTTTAACACGCATCTTGGTTGCTTCCAAGTTTTGGCATTGTGAAAAAGGGTGTGATAAACATTTGTATGTTGATTTTTGTGTGGGTATAAGTGTTTGGCTCATTTGGGTAAATACTTAGGAGAACAATTGTTGGATTGTATGGCAGGCCTATGTTTAACTCTGGAAGGAACACAAGACTGTATTCCCAAGTGGCTATACCATTTTGCAGAGTTCCTGTTGCTTCACATCCTTGCCAGTATTTGATGATGTTAGTGTTTTGGATGTTAGCCATTTTAATAGATGTATAGTGATAACACGTTTTAATTTGCAATTACCTAATGGCATAATAGTGAGCATCTCTTTATATACTTATTTGAAATCTCTATGTCTTCTTTGTTGAGATGTCTGTTCAAATCTTTTGCCCATTTTTAAACTGGGTTATTTGTTTTCTTACTGGTGACTTTTTTTTTTTAAAGACTTGTTTATTTGAGAGAGGCAGAGAGAGAGAGAGAGCAGGGGGTAGGGGTAGAGAGAGAGGGAGAAGATTTTTAAGCAGACTTCCTGCTGAGTGCAGAGACCAACTCCGGGCCTGATCTCAAGACCCTGAGATCATGGGCATCTGGGTGGCTTAGTTGGTTGAGCGACTGCCTTCGGCTCAGGTCATGATCCTGGAGTCCCGGGATCGAGTCCGCATTGGGCTCCCTGCTTGGCAGGGAGTCTGCT